CTCTCTCTCTCTCTCTCTCTCTCTCTCTCTCTCACACACACACACACACACACACACACACACACACACACACACACACACACACACACACACACGCAAAAGCACACATATATGGGAAAGAATCAGGGTCTGTGACCTTCCTTTCTCTTATTTTAGAGGCACTGAGATCAGACTCGCATGACACACATAAGCAGAGGCATGCACAAACGTGTGAATCTATTTAAAGGGGAAAGAGCATGAGCMCCCCCCCCCCCCTCTCTCCCCACCTGATAAAGAACCTCTGCACACTCGTCATATATAGCAACCCAGTCCCTCTTCGCGCCATCTGACTTTGGATCCACTTTTTGCAAGTTGACAGCCAGAACCTGCATTGCCAGACAAACATCCATCCATCCATCCATTGACTGAAGAGTCTTAGCGCAATACATTGAACGGTGATTCAGGTCACCAACTTGCCATCCATTTTTTAGCCCCCCAAAACTATAATTGCCATCCAATGGTCTCATGTACTGCACAGTGACTGATCTGTTCAGAGACGCCTCCATGGACTCTGCGATTGCCACCGAGATAACGAGTTCAATTCGCTGCTCAACCTATCTGTGTGGCCTCAACCTATCTGCAATCCGTGTCCCTCAGGACATCCGTTAAAATTGGAACTATACACAGAAAGAAGATTGGCATGGCCCCAAGAAGATTAGCATGGTCCCTGCACACGCATGGCATGCATAATTCAAGAAATGGTCCAATTTTTAAAACCAAAAAAAAACAAGAAAAGAATGCGAAAAAAATGCGAGTAATTTGATTTCAAACTTCAATCCATTTGATGCTATGTTATATGCTTCTGGGTGTTTCTTGATGCTTACCCTCAAGTTCTTGAGATCAATATCAAAGAGCTCCTTCAAATCCGGCCGCTGAACTTTGACCACTACCTCCTTGCCATTCAAACATGCACGATGCACCTGACCTGCAGGGGTCACAATCAAAAAAAAAACATGTCCCATAGACATATTGCGCAAAGGGAGAACAGATTACTATTATTTCTACGCATCGTCATTGGTTGCCTAAAGACCAGACACCAGGGCTGGGACAACAACCGGCCGGTTCACCTCCCCCGGTCCACCCGGATCCAGACCGACCCAGGAGGGTTGAACCGGGAAACCGTTTTTTCTTAAAAGAGCCTAAATTTTTACTTTTTTGCCCAGTGGATTCCGACTGTGCTCTTCAAGAGCTGTCGAAATCCGCAGTAAAAT